CCTTGGTCGAATCGACAGGGCGGGTGATGGCGCCACACTCGTCACCTTCCCCGTATGCAGGCTCAAGTCGGTAGATGGGCCCCAGGTGTGCAGTCGCATCATGCTCGTCAGCAAGATGCCGGTCGCTCGAAGCGGGCTCGGGGCGGCGGACAGTGCGTAGCCCTGGGTGTGTGAGTGTGTGCTCTGACGAGCGGGAGCACGCCGTCCCCCGTGAGTTGCGGAGATATTCTACAGAAGCAGAATGGATCTCCTTCTGCAGCGTCAGTGGACGCTGTAACTTTAAAGGAGGGCGGAGCCCAGAACGGACGCGCCGAAATGCGGTCATATGAGACGCGCGCTGGACACGTCGCGATGAGCAACGGGCTCCATGAGCTCCAACTCCGTCGAGCAACATAGCTCCGAACTGTCGACTGGTCGGACACGGGTCTGGTCTTCGACCGTGCTCAATCGGGGTCAACCAGCACTTGACCCTCCGGCCGGTCATAGGCGCTCGAAGCAGGCGGCAAGTGGGCTCAACTGATTGGGCCGACCCGTCGCCAAGCACTCGCAACACTTGCCCCTCTCCGCGTAACCTGGCATCGAGCAACGGCTGCGCGCAAGGCGTTCAACGCGCCAAAGCCCCGAGCAGCCCCAACTCTGTCTGTGTGGGGCTTTCGGAAACCGGCATGCAAAATCTATCTCTCTATTTTCTCTGAGGTCGCGGGTCCAAACGGGAACACTTAAGTACCGGGGGAACGCGCGGTGCCGCGCCTTCAACCCATTTTGAAAACGGCGCGGCGCGGCGGGAATCTTTTGAAAAATCGTCGTGGGTCGTACATACGACGCGGCGCGTCCTGGCTGGCGAGCTGACCATCGTATACGGCACTTTTGAGAAGGGTACGTTGACGTCGTAAATTTGCGTACAAGTCGGATACTGTTAGATCTCAATAAACCTTAGTTTTATTTGTTTATTACGGCTAGCTTGGCTTCCTAAATACACTAAGAATGTTGAGATTAACACGGAGTTTGTCAAAGGTTTTTCCCCGCGTGCTCATACGCGGCTCTGTGCACCCAACATAGCGGCCAGTTGCGCTACAATTACAGGCGGGATTGCCTACCCTGCCACCCTGTCGGCCGCGTGAGACGGTCGAGCTTCCGAAAACGCGCAGCCGCGGCAAGCCAGCGCGGCGTCGCGGCGATGTTTCCGAAAGTGTGCGGGGCGGAGGCCAAGCGGAGGCGCGGTACCGCGCCGTCCCCAGTTCCAAAGTATTCCCACCGCCACGAAGTAGCGGTTCAGATCTGACTGTGCTGTCCATACCGGTAGCTTCTAGGCCGAGCGCTTTGGGCTCTAAGTAGCCTGCACTTAGAGAACCAAACTCAACCCTTTGCTCTTTCCCACCATTAGCACCACCGGCCCTTTCATACGCACCACGTCAGGTTTTCTGTATACGTGCACCACCGTGCATGATGAGCTTAGTCTCGAACCCCCTGCTTCGTGCCCGCAACAATCACGCAGCCGAGCTAGCCCGCCTCTACGACGGCAAGACAGAGGGGGAGAAGTTTCGCGTGTGCACGCAGCGCACTCTCGCAGCGCTACACGCTCTCAGAGCTGTTCAAGATCCCGAGACAGCATCTATTGGATATGAGATGATGATCGAAGAGGCGGTGAGCTCACTTCGCGCTCATGTTTGCGTGATTTAGCTGACATTCGTCCAGCTAAAGGTTTTCTCAAATGGCGTGCCTCACCCAAGCCTCCAAGTAATATTGGACGCCTTGTATAAGCGTTTCGGAGTGAATGCTGGCGCTCGCAAGGAGAGCATTGCGTCCGCTGTAGCGACTGCTCTGGATGGTCTAGATGGGCAGGTCTGGAGTGATGTGTCTCCGTGGGATAATGAGGACGATTCTTGGTGGTCTTACCTAGGTATGCGCATTTATGTCGTTTGAATGGTCGGCGTGTCTGACAGCATGCGGAAAGTTGCCACACAGGCAACACCTATGATCGAGCCTACCGGGCCTTTCCGGCCACCCGCCAGAGCTGCCGCACCCGCCGAGTCCGTCGAGTCTGCCGAAGCGCCCGCACCATTCCGCGGCGACGCGGTATCCGCTCCCCCCACCTACCCCAACTTTACCTTGGCGAATTCTACGCGCGATGGCCTCGGGGTCACTTCCCAAGACGGGGACAATACACGACCTGCACCTTCTGTGCTTGCTGGCAATACCCGCCGTCTGGATGGCGGAGGAGAGGACGGAGACGCAGTCTCGTCTGCGACCGAAGCATCAGGCGACGATGCCAACGCACGGCGAAAAACGATTGTGAAAGGGAGGCAAAAGGCCCCTGCCCCTGGACGCGACGCGTCGGGCGTCGAGAAGAACGGCGTCCGGCCGAAGCCGGTAAACCCCAAGAGAACAGCTACGGCTACGTCTGCGGGAAGTGTGAGCGCAATTATTCCCTCTTTGATGAAGAATGCTGATAGGTTTGTGTAGTCGGCATGGCGTGTGCCAGGAATTCGCCTGCATCATGACAGACACGCCTATAAGGCCTTAGAATGCACAAGCGTCGACTTCTTCTCTATCATTCAACAGCCTGAGTTTCACGGAATGAACTGTATTGATATAGCTGTGAATATTGTGCGTCATGCTCTCGTCAATTATCTGCATTTGAACTGCATCAATCTGACACATTGTAGATACCCTGCCAGGAATGCCACACGTTGGGTTACGTCTGCATATACCGTCCCCAGAAAGATAAAACCGGCAGATGGGTCGCGTCAACGTGTCATCACTGCTATATTGATCGCCGACGAAAGTGTTCTGCCTCAGCGCCGATTAAAGAGCGCACCCGTGTCACTGTAGGGACCGATCTACGGTTCCTATATGCGGATCACCCTGATTTCAGTGGGACACCTACTCTTCGCGCGCCATCTTTGTTGCGTCGTGCGAAGCTTTTCGAAGATCTTCTCGAAAAGAAGAAGTTATCGGCCTGGCCGCAATGGCTTGACACTGAAGGTGAGCTAAATTTACCTCACACAGAGCCCATTAGACCTCCACTACTTCCAGTGTTCTCACCATCTACTTAGGCAACATCCTTGACAAGGACTTTGCCAAGGCATCCAACAACTATGTGAATGAAGACACGACGAGTTTCTTCTCTAGTGCACCGGAGATCTACGCAGACCACGAAACGTACATCGAGCATCATCCATGCTATAACACTCGCAATCCGAACGCAATCCGCAGTGGTACCAAGGCATCAAAGAAAGGCTCCTCCGCCGCGAACCCTATCAACGCAGACGATCCAATGCCCGTCACGAACTCTGACGTTGAACCCGATGATGATGACGACGACGACGAAACGGATAGTGTCAAGGCCGAGCAGGTGGATCACGTACTGGCATGGGAAGGACATAGGTCGCAGCCGGAAAGTACGGGCCAAAGGGAGAGGAAGGTGGAAGCACCGCCGAAGAAGGCGCCCGTTGTTGGACCCACCACAGCCATACCCTCCAGCGATACAATTAGTGCGTTATGTCTTCCACCATGCTTTGGGTTCTGTAGCTGATATTAGATCATTGCGGCAGACGTAAAGATGCTACACGACACTGTCCAGCTCGTCCAGAACACTCAGCTGGCGCAGAAGAATACCCTTGATCACCTGCTATCGGAAGTTCAACGCTTGCACCAACGTCTGGATGGTCTAGGGCCTCTGTATTATTCCAACCTCGAAACCGCCCAATGGTCTATTCAAGATTCGTGGTTTCACCAGCCCATGGACGGAGGTTCGAGCGGGCTAAACGCTGCCAGTACGACGGTGTCGATTCCACCACAGGTCACATCCCTTGAGCCTACTCCGTTCGCCTCCATTGCGAAGCCCTGTGCCAACGTTGAGCGACAACCCTTTGCAGCCAGTACACCTTTCTCTAAGAGATCCTCTGGGGTACATCCGCCTTTTGGGTCTTCTATGAGTCCAGTGGCTGAATCCGGAACTATGCCCTTTCGGCACCCCCTTCCTGCCCTCCCAAACACTACCACACCGCTGCTCGATGACGCGCATGGGCTTATGATCACGGGGGAGCCTTCTCTACTATTGCCAACTCCTCAGGATACAATTTTTGCGCCCCAGTTGCATCCCATCAACTCAGCTCTACCAGAATCAGTTGCACAGCCAGTGCTTATGGCAAAGGCGACAGTTGCGATACCTGCTGAGACATCTACGCCCTCCACCTATCCCTCTTCCTCGCTGCAAATGATGATGGGCACCAATGACCTTACTGCGCCAGGTATGGGTGTGCAGGGCTTGGCGCATGCAGCAGCTACACAAGAGCAAGGGCAAACGACCCCTCTGTTGCCAGCAGCAGAAGAAGAGGATGTGCGTATGTCGAACACCGGGGACTCTGCGGTGAGAACCGTCGGTGGTCCGAACAACATCAACAGTAGTTCTCCCAATGCGTCTGGCATTGCTCCATCCCCTTTCTCGGATCCAAGCGGCATGGAGAGGCTCACTATGCCATTACATGAGGGGGACCATGCTGAGCCCATGGCAACTATGCACCAAATGTTGCCTGGTAATGAGGATACACGTCATAGAGGTATGACCTGCTATCCTTGTCAGGCCTTTGTAAACTCACCTTTCCTCTAGATACACTGCGTGTGCATTTCAGCCTCCCAGTCATTGACCGGGGCAGCAAATATGCTGACCCTGATGCACCTACCCTGCACCCTCCAGCGCTTCAGTCCCTCAGTCCCTCAGGACTGGGCAAGTTTGAGATGAATATCGCAGATGGTGTTCAGACCAACAACACAACTGGCAATAGAGACACTGAAAACACTTTTCACACTGATGTCATCCCTGATCAAGTCAGTGATAAGGAGGATCTGAACGACCGTGATGTTCACGCATGGGCAACACAGACTGAGGGGTTGGGTCAGGAGCGCTTTGATGAAGCCAAGGAAAGCCCCACCTCTGGTCCCCTCCCAAACATGCAGCTGATTGTGTGATAATTAGGAGCCTCATGCTGTTTCCACTCCCGTGAATGATACTGAGGAGCCGTCTGGCGCTCCCGTCTGCACGTCGCCCCCCCCCAAACGTGCTAACGCTCGCAAACCAGCACAGGTGCCCGCTGTCGAACCTACAAATGCCATTCGCGCGCGCCTACGTCCCGCCAAGGTGCCTGAGCCTGTTGCGACGACGAAAGTAGATGGTCAGAAGAATAGGAAGCGGACTCATGCGGATTCCGCCAAAGGTGATCCTTTGAAGGCCAAAGATGTGGAAGTGGCGCTGGGCAAGACCGCGTTAAAACGAACCAAGCGGCGCTGATTGGTTATTTCCTTCCTACTCATGCTTCTGTACACACTTATGCATCCTGACACCTTACTTGCTCATGGATTATGTTAGCTCTGCCTGTTCTACTCTCTTGTTGACACCTTTGCTTGTACTTATCTTACCCTTCCCCGCGATATAATCAATGATCACTCACTCGTCGCTTCAAAATTTTATCAACGAAGCATATAGTAACTAGGTTTGAACTGCTCCGTACTTCGCGACTTTCACCATTCATTTGATAGATATCCAGTGGCACCATAGTGTTGCATCCATTATCGCCCGGCAAGAGAGGGGGCAGGCCAAGGCCCGGAATGGGACGTTGAGCTCGGTGATGCCACCACGTGGATCGAATTGCCCATGCCGTTAATGCCAGCGCGACTTCGCCCTCGACGACGACCATGGCTTGCATTTCCCTTTGTGTTGCCAGCCCTCCGGCGCCGGCGCCCTATCCACTCACCTCAGCTGCTCTGCAGCCGAAGGGTGGCATGGGCTAACACAGACCTCCCACAGCAGCCTAGTCCAGCGTCGAGGGCATACCCCATGAACATCGAATGACAAACGCACTCTCAGCCTCATCCGGTAGCTGAACGTCTTTTCGAAAGGACAATATCAACCCCTGAAAGTGTAAAGCCGTAGTGGACTACGTCCTCGCCAACGATAATGCCATGACTCTGGTCAGGGATGTTGCAATCGGCTATACTCGGACCACGCCCTAGTGCTCAAACTAAGCCCTCCTCCAAATGCACTCCTCTTAAGTCGCAACGCACGTGAGCCGCGCTTGCTTGAGCGCCTACGTCGTCGAGAGCTCACTGTGCTGACGAGGGATGCGGACCTCGACAGGCTCCACGCCGATCTCGTGGAAGGTGCACATACCGTGACCCGCGAAGATTGCTTCACATCGCTTGTCGGTGTTGCGCACGCGAGCGGCTCGACCGTTGAAGTCTACGCCGATGGGTCCTCCCTCCGGAATGGGAGACAAGACGCTCGGTCTAGGGCAGGTCTCTGCTACGGACGTGGCTCCAGCAGGAGCACTGCGACACGCGTACCGGACGCGTAGATAAATAACTACGTAGAAATATTTGCCATTCTCGTCGCACTATCACGCGTCTAACGTCATTGGTCATATATTATAGCACGGTGGAATGGCAACGCTTGCGGATACTTAGATGTCTTATGGTAATCATTTATGTTGGCTTTTTGTCATGTTGATGTGGGAGTACAACCCTGCAAAATAAGCTAAGTACAACATGACGATTGCAAGAGAACCGTATAATAATGAGAATTATCACTATCAGTACATCAACTGTGTACGCCTATAGGTACCTGTCCCTCAACTCCTAATGTTGAGGGAGTGAGAATTGCATGTGCAGTCGCAAATACTCAGAGTACACATCTGTACTTTCGCAAGCCTATGCGGGTACACCTGTAACACTACACCCGGCGGTAGCCCAATCACTACCGGCTGCCGTGCAGGACTGATCAACTCCTGCGGACAACTCAGCATAACCGATCACTAGAGTGCGCGCGTGAATAATACTGACTACCTCCCTTAGCCAAGTGCGCAATAGATTGCTCTATGATGGTGGCAGTGTCTTGTACGTCGGCTTCGACGTGAGAGCTGAGGTATTTGATGTCACTTGTCTCTGTCGCTTCTTCGGCTGCATGCCTTGCATCATGGACTGTTTCGGGCATCTCAGGTAAAGGTGCACTTAGAATGATTTCCTGATACGTTACCGGTGAATGCTTCCGCTTCAAGACGTCTGGAGCAGGTTTTAGGCTCGTCATCGGGAAAGGTGATTCCAGATTTCGTTTGAAATTCTCAAAGAACTCGGAGTTGGCGGGCAGGTTGTACTGAAGGTATTGCCGGGGGGGTGCTTTGTTCAACTGTAAGAAGGTCGTCAATATTATCTAGAATCCATAGAGTATAAAGAGCTGACTATATTGCGCAACGTATCACGGTTCCTCGTGTTCTGTTCGGCACCGCCAACCCATCTGATGAACGAATCGTATAAGGCATGTGAAGGCTGTGCGACCTGCAGAGTGACGACTTCGGACTGGTGTGGTGAAGTCAACGAAGGCGAGGCTATCTTGGTGGCAGTAGTCGTGTTCGGAGCGGCGATAGGTATCGAGATCTGCATGACGTCCAGTCGTGGGCCATTAAGCGGCTCGCGTTCAATGAAAGCTGGGCCTCGAGGGAGAAGCCGACGGCTATTCGAGCGATCATTGAACTCAAAGACTATGTCCCAGGTCCTAGAGACACGCGCAGGCAGAGCAGGTTGCCAGCTTAAGAGCTCAGCCTCCTTGAGTTGGTTGATAGCTGTCGTGATATATCTGGCTTCTTCTGGCATGGCTGTGCCCGCGATGGATTCGCGGATGCAGTGCATTAGTTGGGAATCTCTCTGCGCTTTCGAATTGACGCGCGAGATGAGTTCGTGCGTGATTTCCGACATGAACGTCGTGGACGACGTGGACAACGGCGGTGTGGTCCCCTCCCTCGATTGCAACTTCGGAGCTGGGTTCGTGGCCGTCTGCACCTCAAACGCAGTATCTTCATAGACGACTTCGTAAATGCCTGTATCAAAAAACGTATGCGGCCCGATTACGAGGGTGCACCTGCTGAGCATCATCGTGGAATGTGCAGGTGGGATCAGGCCGTCAACTGCAGCAAATTCAGGTAGAAGAGGACCGAGCCACGCAGTACGTGCTGGCATTCTATATCAGTATTTTGTCTCGCCATACAGCTTGATTGCGTACACTCTTGTAAGGACGTAGCTAGCACGTTGCTGCGCGCAAGTCAGCCATTATGAAAGGAAGAAAGAATCGGTATGCACCACATACCTCTCCAAGACGCTTTTCAGTTTGCCGAGCTTGGCATCACGATAGCAGTCAGGTGTAGATCCAACGGGGAAGTCCAGAGGGCAACGTGTAGACGACATGGTAACAAGAAACGAGCCCACTACCTCTGCGTATGTCACAGGACGCCGCGCCTCGCAAAGAACCCACGGACCACAACATTGATGTAACACGTGCGTGGCTTGACAGCTACCGACCCGGTGCCTCTTGTTCTTATGCGCGGACTTGCAGATGCCACTCCCTTCTACCGCGATGTCTCTCCCGTTTATTCTATCTAGCCAGTACCAGATCGGCTTGCCACGCACAGTGATAAAATTTTCGCCCCAAGTTTTTCATGCAACCTGGTAAATCCCATATACGTGTGGGATGGCGTTTGACAGAGAACCTAGGTCTCTGCGTGCAAGATGACACCAGCAGCCGACGTCGAAGAACTGAACAGGTCGTGAGTTCATGTACCTAATCAGTTGAACAACTCGATCAACAATACAACATTTAAGTGGAATTTCTGAACGGCTAGGCCCGGCGCAAGGCTGCCCGGCAAAAGTTGCTCAGCCCGAGGGTTGAACCAACAACCTCGTGCAATAATAACCACCGCACGCGCTAGACCGTTAGACTAGACCTGCTTTCAATAGCTATCTTCCACTGTAATGGGTAGCGCTCTTTATCTGGCACCTTCAGCACCAGTACCAACCTATGATAAGCCCCTCTCCTGTCAGCCTCGTCCCATACATGTAGTTATACATCGGGGATATAGTCTAATGGATATAGATAGGGTTCCGCGCGGATCTCCGAACGGATCGGAGAAACGCGGACTCGTTCGAGATCGGTGCGCGCGCACGCGATTATCTTCCCCTGTCATCTTCTGCGTCGCTCTCATCTTCCCCGGCTCACGATAAGGTGCGCTGCCATAGTCGGAGAGGAGGATCGCAGAACTAACCTATATGGCCAGGACGAGATGGCGCAAGTGGTCGACGGCCCCGCATGGCGATCGCGCCCAGTCGCAGGGTTGGCGCGACCGTGGTCTGCGAGGAGTCGTGCCCTGCGCCCCGGTGAGTAAAGCATAGAGTGCCTAACAACACGTCGACTAACGAATCTAATAGGCCTTCGCGGTCTCGAGAAGACCGCCGAGCATCAGGATCGCGTTCAGGCGGACACCTCGCCCTCGACCGACGTTTACGAGCGACGCGGACGTACGTGCCTGGGTTCTCGTGACACCCTGGCGGAAACTGACGGATCGTAGGCCGCGGAGTTCCAGCGTCTGTGGCGGGTCCACCATGCTGCGTATCGAGCGGCGTCGAGGAGCGCCGTACTGGAGCGCTGCGCCGAGAGGGCGTTGGAGCAGCGGGTAGACAGGCTGTGGAGGGCGGAGCGCATAGCCAAGCTCCGGATACTTAGAAGTAAGATTCAAAAGTCCTACGACGAGTATACCGCCGCGACAGCGGCGTTGCATGCGTTCGCTGATCGAGTGGGCGTGTGGAAATGAAATATTCGCCCTAAGTTAAATTGATGATCTAGTCGTTCAACTGGTCAGGTACGTGAACTCCGACCTGTTCAGCTGTTCGACGTCGGCTGCTGGTGAGAATGACGCATTACTCGTGAAGAAATATAGGGTCTGCACAAAAGCATGGTACCTACAGTACATACATCGTGCATAATATTCCATATCTGACCGGATACAAATAGCCCTGCAGCCCCGATCTGACTGCTTTTGGGGGAATTCTACAAACGCCAGTGTGTAGGAACTGAATATTGACGTCAGCACAACAAGAAACCATGAGAGATATCAGATACATACCCGCACGATATCGCCGGTCAAATAGACATTTCCAGCAGCGGGGTGCTTGATGAACTTCTTCGCAGTCATGTCGGGCTGGCGATGATAGCCACGCGCGTTCTGATATCCGCCCAGTGCTACAGTAGACTTATTTGTGCATATAGTGGTTCAATCAACGCACCAAGTTCGCCGACGGCGCCCCGCGGCAGCACAAGATCACCCTTCACTGCGTAGCAGCTGACTGTCCGGATTGGGACACCGACGTTATGCGCCTTCGTAGCCTCGCCAAGCTCCCACCTGCGATCTGCGAATGCGTGTCAGACGACTATCCATGGCCAGACAGCGAAATGATACTGTACACGTTGCAATGATGGTGGACTCGGCAGGTCCATATGTGTTGAGCGACACAACCCCAGGCTGGCTCCTTTTGTCCGCGACAGTATCGGGGAGCTTCTCGCCGATGCTGATGAGGGTGCGTAACGTTGGACACTCGGCGAGCGAAGATTGCGCCATGAAAGCCGGGGTGAGCTGCAGATGTACTTGATCAAACAGAGCTCGTTGATAAGATCAAGTAAGAAAACTTACGAAAGCATGCGTGGCCTGGAACGCATTCATCGCGTTGGCAAACTGGCCCACCAGAACGTCTTTGTATGCAGAGCAGAGCGTGCCACAGCACTTTCCCAGCGCGTAGAAGACGTCGAGCACCGAAACGTCGAAACTAATGATTGGCTCAGTCTAATGTGTACCGCCGTTGGGTAGAACCCGTACGTGTATGCAGAGAAGTTGAGGCAGAAGATGGGCGCAGGGCCGGCGGGGATGTCTTCTTGCAGTACAGCTAGACTCTGCACCGCAGCCTTGTGTTGAATCGGAACGCCCTGTTGCATGCAAATCAATGATGGGCATGGCTGGAACCAGATGGGTGACTGACCTTGGGAGCGCCCGTTGTCCCACTCGTCCAGATGAGGTACGCAAGATCATCCTGCGTCGTCTTCAGCACTGGCTTCGCCTGCGATTGACCTTCAAGCCTCTCATCGTCCAGCGCGAGGATGCTCAATCCCTCGGGCACCGCACACACATGCGCCTTGAGCCCCGCCTGATCCCTCACGAGAACGACCGGCCCTCCAGCACGCCCAAACAGGTCGCGCTTTCGCATGGCAGGCGCAGCAGCGTCGACAGGACACCACGCTCCACCCGCCTTCAATACGCCGAAGATCGCGACAATAGAGTTCGGCGCACTTCTCCATGCATAGTGGCACCGCGATGTCAGTGAGATCGCCATATTCGCGCAGGAGGAAATTGGCGAGCTTGTTCGCGCGCGTATCGAGCTCGGCATACGTCCATTTGATGTCGAGATCTGGACGCTCGAGGTCTGCTTTGAACCAGACTGCGAGCGCTTCGGGATATTCCCGCGCGTTGCGCTCGAACTCGTGGTGAATAAGCGCGCCTCCGGGCATTTCGGCCCGCGTGGGCGTAGTGTTGAGCGCGGATTGAAGCGCGGGGCGTACGCCCGATACGACGGCCGTGACTTGTGCGTCGGGCGAGGCGGATAGGATGGAGGACATGATGTCGTTAAACTGCTCGAGAAGGCCGGTAGAAGCGGCAGGAGTGAGTACGGTGTTCGAGCCGGTGAGCCGGAGGCGAATAGAGTCGTCTGCCTCTGGCCAGATCTCCAGTACTGCAGCGAACTATAATGCAGAACGTCGGCTCTCAACTTAGTCATCAGACGTAGAGGAACGCTGAGCATACCTCGGTCACCATAGGCGGGTACTCTGCCTCCCTCCACAACCCCGTCTGGCTCTCTCCCCTCGCGAAGCTCTGGAGCGCGATCGTTGTGTCGTAGATGATACATTTCTCCCCGCTCAGCACCGTCACAGGCGAATAACGATGCCGCACGCTTGGCGCATTCGCCTCCCTCAGCCGTGCGAGAACTTCTTTCGCAGTCCCTGCCGCGTTCGAAGAGTTGACGCGCACAGGTACGGCGGTGAAGACCGGCCCGACGGCAGTCTCGAGCTCAGGTGTACTGCGCCCGCCCACAAGCGAACCAAAGACGATGTCCGGCGTCTCGGCTTCGGACAAGCCGAGTAGGAGCGCAGCCCATGCAGCTTGGACTACGGCCAACGGCGAAGTGTCGAGTGCTCGAGCACGCTCTTGAAG